CCCAATATAATGGTAGGGGAAACACTGCTATTTATAATCTAAGTATGTTATGCATGTTTGTTTCTGTTAGTAGGCTCTCAGGACTCGCTGGTGAGTATGGAGGAAGCTGTGCCCACTCTTCAAGAGACATCCATCAAGCGGCTGGTGGTAGGACCTCTGGATGTCAGGCTGCACAGCAGCGCTGTTCACCGCATCCTGAAGATGGTCACCTGTGCCATGGACCATGAGTACGAACCCTACTGCAAACCACAGAGAGGTCAGATGTCTCATGCTAACAGTTGCTCCATCTGTTTTATTGGGCTGACTTTACCAACTAAGAGTCAGCTAACAACTAATAGCTCACTGTACTCCCTACTCTCGACTAACACTTTTTGCAACACCTCTCTTATCTTTTTCTTCTCTTTTCTTCTACTTTGTTCTCTTCTCTTCTACTGTGTTCTGTTCTACTCTATTCTGTTCTGCCAATGATCAGAAACTGCAGTGGTTTGCACTTTACAGTATCCTCATCACATTGTTATTTCCTTGCACAACCCATCTTTCAACACACAGCTGTACATGAAAGCAGTGACCTTTTGGACCACATGAGGGAGGATAAGCCAAACACCTTTGTTAGTGATCGTCCCTGCACAGCTATTGATGAGCTCATCCCTGGGATGTTGTGAAAGAACATGGAATGTGTGTCTGTGTGTAATATCTGTAGCAATAACTCTCATTTTTTCGAAACGATAACATCCGTAGGTTTCGGCTGTTTCAGCATCTGCGATAGATAATAGATGATGGGGTAATTACTACAGAGCTTTTGACTAAAGCTGGTCAGGTCAGTCTGTTTCTTCCTGTTTCTATATGTGTCTGTGCTCTCTCTGGCATTTTCTGGAAAAGGGTCAGTATAGTTAGACCCCTGGGGGGGATTGAGAAATTGAGAGTAGATAAAAGAGGAAACTTTTTTCACCAAGGTAGCTTTTACAGATAGAGTGATAAAATAACACATGCCTTATGTGTTCCCTTAAATCATCCTCTCCTCTCCTCTCCTCTCCTCTCCTCTCCTCTCCTCTCCTTGCTTGCCAGGAGGGAAGTAGATATCAGAAGGTCAAAGACTTCTATGCATCTTGTCCTCTTCTTCTCTGCTCCTCCTCATGCACTCCTCCTCAGAATCACTTTCCTCCCAAAAACTAGTTGTAAATGGAGGCCAAATTGGCTGGTGTCTGTGTATTTAATAAAATCTTGCCCTATTTAGACCAGAAGGTTCCAACTTGCAAATTACTTAGTGTGTTCATTTGTGTGTTGAATGTGGTGAATGTTTCTTTTTATATATTGCCGGAGAACAATAGATGGAACAAATTAGCAAAACTTTTAGAGCTGGATTTGTTAAGTGGGACAGGAAAACAGGGGTGTGTCAGTAATATGTGTGTGCCACAGTGCCAGTGTGTGTATATTGGCTTGCGCACTTCTTGTCTTTTTATCATATATTTTTTTTCTGTGTGCTTTAAATAGAAACTGTTTAAGTGTGTGCAATCATGGCTCTGTGTACCATGTGAGCCGCATGTCTTTTGTAATTTGAATGTTGACTGTGGATATTGACTTGAGACCTGGCATATGATTAGATTGGACATGGCAGTGCCAGATGAACCTGATGCGGGCTGTGGCGGTAGGCCAAAGAGCAAAACAGCTTTGGGATCAGGTTCTGAGCCCACCTTGGAGCTGGGAATGTAGCCCAACAGAACCTTTACTGAACTAAAACAAGCCCATGTCCTGGGACTAGAGCCAAGGCCGTTCTGTAACAAAGCGTTCAAGTTTTGGTCCACCTCAGGCCCTGGACACAGTTTAGTGGTTCATTGCTCTGGTCACTCCTCACTTTGGTGAGCGCTGACCTTGCTAGCCTCTTTTCCATGTTGTCTTGGTTCACTTCATTTTCTGCCTTTCCGGATGTTTCTGGTTATTGATTGAATGAGTGGTTTTATGAGATAGTTCAAAAACAAAGCTACTGGGAAACAGCCACTGTAATGAATATCACGCGAAGATGCCAGTACTTTTTTAGTGCATGTTTATTTTATTTAGTGCATGAGGTGGTGGTTTTTGTTGGAAAAGGCCTTTTTATTGTTTTAATGCTGCAGGCACAGAGGAGAGGCGCCCACTCAAAGAAATTGGTGTGCTTTACAGTTAACCTCTTTCTCTGTAAAACAATCTTTAGTTCTCAAATCCAAATGGCTTTGGCCTTTCCCACTCCCTCACTTTATTTCAAATATTGCACCAAAGGTCCCATTCTCGCGGTTAGATTCACTTGTGTAAAACAAAGGAAATCAGTTGTTTTTCTAATAAAATGTTTAATCTTACACTGCACCCACTCCCTTTACTGCACCTCTGCAATATGTTACGCTATTTTTTCCAAAGCTAACAGGTTTCTTTCGGTTGTGTCATTGTCTCTGTAGAAATGGTTGAAGAGAGCCATGGTCCAGCTACTCCAGAAGAGATATCAAACTTGGAGGAATTCATCCCAACCAGACTCACGTGTCTCAGTCTGCTCCAAGTCTCAGTGACCATCTCCATGGCGGAGTTCAACCTCCTTCACACACTAATGCCTGTCATCATGGGATGCAAGGTACTGCATACAGACCTACATAGTTCCAAATAATGTCCTTGTATCTTGTATCTTTTTTGTACCTTCTTTTAGAAACTCTTTTTTTAATGGTTATTAATTTGCCATGGGTGATTGCATTACATAAAATTAAAGTATAAAAATCAAATATACAAACTGTAATGGAGAGAGAATGATGTGCACACAAAATGATCAGACACATTGCTAAAAGTCTGTAGATTGTACAGTACACATTGCATCTATTGACATTGAAGCTTCTACTTATCTGAACAGGCCACACATCGATAGGTTGCTTGGGTTTTGACAAATACTGTTTGCCAAGATACTTATGGTGAAGAACAAATCATAGTATGTGCTTAGTGCACCTTCAAGCTGATAAATATCTGGCTAAAAAGGTTTGATTTTTTTTTATAAATATTTGAATATGTTATATATCTCAAGAATGATAACAACATTCTTCAGTCGTGTGGTGAGGGGGAAAAAATCTTGTATTGTATTTTAGTGACTATTTGCTGATTATACCGTAGGTCTATAGTAAAACAATACAATTCAGACATCAGATCTAGCCATTATACCCATCCTTATAAAAATCATGCAGTATTTATGTCAAATATTGAGACTGAATTTAATTTTTAGATCTTGTCAGAGAGTTTACCTAGTTAAATATGAGGGAGACTGATACATATGTATCCTCCCTTTTAATCCCTTTCCCTCCTTTGATATTTTCAATCTTCCAGACTGCACCTGGGCCAGTCAACATGCCAGTGTTTCAGCCAGTGTGCCCACTACCTTCTGTGCAGTTCCAGGTGGAAAGGGTGAATGTCGAACACTCTGTGCCCATGTATGCTCCAGAGCTGGTCAGCACTGTCAGCAGTCTCAGCCAACCTTCTGACAACCTGCTACATCACTGCTATTCACACTTCTACCTCAAGGTGAGCACAGCAATATTAAAATCCAGCTGGCCTTTCTGTAGATACAGTATAAAACAGTTCTGTACTGTTCTGCTAAAACAGTTGGTTCGATGTTAGAACTGTATCCTACATATACACCTGACTTTTTACAAAGGTCTGTCAGATCCACTTAGGCTATCTAGGCCACAGTTAAAGCATCATATCTCAGGTTAGTTGAGCATTTGTTGATTTGGTTCTCAAGTTGGAAGTTATTTGATGTTTAAGTCCAAACTACACTAAAACAAAAAATTGTATTTCCCCTTAAGGGATTAATAAAGTACGCCTTCTTCTATACCGGGTATTTGATAATGTACACTGTAAAGGTTGTGGTAGACTGGGTGCAAAACCACACTCTCATACTCTTACATAATACGGAAAACTACAATTTATCCTTGTGCCATTTTTTTCCTGTCCTTTGCCATTTTTATTTAGCACAGGTTTGTATATGTTTTTATTTTATTTACCTTCTTTTATTTTACATTTATCTCTTTATCCGTCATATCTTCAGTTTACACAAAATATAGCAATTCGTAGAGTTCCGTTTTCATGCACTTCAGTCATAAGTCAGTAGGCCAGCCTCATGGCCACAGTCTTAACTCCACTCTGAAATAACCCTAATGACCTTGATGACCCCTTTTCACCTGGTCATAAAGATCTCAGTGCTAAGCCTTTCGATGAGCTCCAGTCCAACTCTGGTCTACTTCATGGTTTTAAACAAGCAGATTGATGGGATGCTACAGGCTTGTGATTGTGTAGCTGTGACATCCCCCTGTTACTGTGTTGACTGTATAGTTTTGAGTTTGATGCTTAATAGATATAACTCATTGTTAATTACAGTTACAATTGCCAAAAACATCAGACTGGGGCCTATGACAAAACGCTATGGTTTCTCAGAGAACAAGTGTAAAATCACAAGGCGAAAGGCAAAATCTTTGTCAGCTGTGCTTTTATCAGATTGCTTTATATGATAAGGCCAATTTTATGAGCAGTTATTTAGTATGTAAAGTTTGTGCTATCTGAAAATTGTGGCAGTTCCTAAGAATGGTCAAGAGACAGCTTAGAAAAATCTGAACAATCTGCTGGGAAAGCTGTTTAAACATACTATTCACACCATTTGTTGTTAGACCATTTAAAAGTTGAAATGCTGTACTATTATGTATATATACTATGTAATACCTCTTTGTAGAATGCACGTGGTTATAGCAAAACATTTAGAAATAATCATTGATCTTCCTCTGAATCTGTATTGGCATTTTGTATATGTAGCTGTTACATTATTTTTTTACTTACACACAATGTGATCAGTTATTTATTTATATACAGGTTAAGGTAATATCATATCTGACAGTGGTAGTGTCTAGAGTAAACTGCACTTTTGTCTAACACTTCATTGTATAAATTAACCCATAAACCAACTAGAAAAAAAGGTTTTAATCTCTGTATTTATAGTTTACTTGAAGGCCCGGATGTTCCATGGGGTGCGTATAGAATTATGGAGAATTTAGCAAATTCAGCAAATTCACCTTTTAGGAAGCCTGGATAACAGATCTTTAGTAACCTGGGGTGGCCCAGTCTGGCCTGGTATGGCCTGGGTGTGTTTTTTTAAGGCAGGATGTTTGCTGGACATCATGCTGGTAGTCCTTATCACAGGGTCACTGCAGGGTTAACAGTCAACTGGTCAGTGGCCAAGGATCCTTCTGACCAATCAGCCAATCAGCCTCTGTATCTGCCAAGGTACTAATTCTGCCTCTGGATTTTGGCAGTGGGATCATGACAGGGTGGAGGTCAGTCTGGCCACAATTCACCCACTTCAGGAAGTGATTTGAAACGGGTATAAACTAAGGCTTATCTTAATCTGTCTTTTATTGACACTGGCTGACAAAGCTAAGGTGTCTGTCTTGAGGGTAGTGGTTAGCCATTGTCTCACTTTTCCATGGATATAGACATGAACTCAACGTCAGCCTTGCTCAGCAAGGAGGCCACAGAAGTAAATAGACCGATCATAATTGAAAACTTGGGCTATTTGAATAAGTAGTTGCTTCGGGCTGCCGAAAGGAGAACAGAATTTGAAGTCTGGTCTCCCAGAGGAGGCTGTAGTGAATCAGTCTGTGGCTATATGGCCCCAAGCTTGCATTTCAAAGTAGGATTTTTATTATGTCTACATCTGTATCTGGCAATCACACAATTCAACTAGATATACTACTCTGGTGTGTAATATTACGTCCATAGGCCAGTTGTCCTATTATAAATGAATTATCATTTTAGTTTCATCCAAAGTTTTGTCTGTCTGCTCTGGGCCATCTGCACAGGAAAGTGGCTTGGTAGACCTCCACTTGCAGGAATTGAATGAATCCTGCCCAGTGCATACACAGCAGCTGCATGTGGGACAGCTGGGCCCAGCCATCATCCACTGCCTCAAATATTAAACAGGACTTCATCCACCATGTTCACCATTAACAGCATGTAAACATTGAGGTTGCAGTACAGTATGTATCCAGCAATGGTTAGATTAGGAGCTACATTGTCACTAAAAGAAACCGCATTGAGTTGAGTGAGTCTAAAAATCTCTTCCCTAGAAAAATACATGAATGTTACGCACCAATCTGGGTGTGATCTTGCCATGGACCTGATCAATTTGTTCGTGTAAAAGATGTTGTGACTGCGGTTAATTGGGTGCAAGTATTGTCTTGCTATTGCATCTCTCTTACTATATGTATGTCCGCTTGTTTGCAAAAAAACCTCAAATTTGTTATGAAAACTTCAGTTCAGAGTGTACATGTTTGTTGGTAAACAAATCTGTGTTGGTGAACTGCACAAACCACCCACAAACTTTTCAGCCTCAGCAGTGTGTGTCCTCATTAAATCACACTGCAGTGGTCACATCACTTCTGCTATGTACTACAACTGTGCTTTAAAAAACTATTACAGAAAAGAAACACGTTTGTAGTGGTCTAATGTGCAATATGTATACTTTTTTTTGAGAGTTCAACATAAGGATATTTTTATCAGGGCTTCCCAGAGTATTGGATAGACTTGCTGACAGGTCTACAGTAAACAAGGACGATAAGATGATTTTGTCTTTTTTTGTCATTATAAGAGCGCAGCTTTGGGCTATGGCCGATCTGCTGAAGACAGATAGGGTCAAAACAGCTCAGTGGTGATTGAGATGAGAGAACAACAGCACTGGCTCTTCGCTGCTGTGTTGTCTTTTCAGAAGCTGTGTGAACTCAATGAGAGCTGACATGTTTTTTCTGTGGATCCAGTAAATGGTTTGATATATACATTGCTGAATATGCATTTCCATGTCTGCTTTTTTTCTCCCCCGTCTTTCCTTCTCTTCTCTCCCTTCCACCATATCTTACACTTTCTCCCTTTCTTGCTGTCTCTTTCCAGGTGTTTGGGTTCCAGGCAGGCTTGACATGCCAGGACACCACAGGGGGTTTCTTGCCTCTCATCCCCATCATCCCTTCCTTCAGCACTGCACTCTATGGGAAGCTGATCCAGATGCCTGCATACTGGTGAGCACTTGTAATATGGATGGAAATTTGATTGAGCACAGAAGCAGATAGAGTTCCCCGTGTAAACTTATATTATTAATTTGTCACTGCTGATTATTTCATTTGGCAAACTGCCATGGTTTGGCTATTACTATCATGTCTACCTCGGGTTTATAGGCTTTACAATGTCATATTTGCCCCTTTAAAGTCACTGGGACTGAAGTGATGGCAAAAAAGTTAAGCCAAATCCTGCCCCACATGAATTTGACACGTACATTATGCAAAATGGTTTACTTTGTCTAAATCATTGCTTTGTTCATACTTGGTTCCTGCTTGATTGAGTCTGAAACTTTAATCCCTAAGCAAATGAGTCATACCCCTTTTCCACCATGTGCAGTAGTCTCAGTAACAGTTGGTCCGTGCTTGTGTTTTTGGTAAAAACAAGTATCTGTAAAAACAGAACAAAGGTTCACAGGTAAACAGTGTAATCTACAATTTTTGCTGGTGGAAATGCAGGCTGGTCAACTAGATAGAACCAAGGTTCCAAGACTCCTAAAGAGAACTGGTTAAAAACCAGAGCCAGTGTGCTGGAAAAGCGGTATCAGTATCTCCAAATGTTTTGTCTTTCTGCCAACCTTTTTGTAGTAGGCAACATTTAGTGCTGGTTTTGGATAGTGTGGAGTCTACACTGTATGTTCTTTATGCTGATCACTGAAGTGGGAATGTTCAATGGCATGCATGCATCACAGTTAAATAACGGTGCTGATACAACAGAAAACATAATTTCAGTCTTCCAGAGGAAATGGTTTCTGTGTGTTTGGTTCAAGTAAAAACATCCCCACATGTTTGTGCTGTGGACACATCCTGAGACAGCCACCAAAAAGAATTTCACTATACAGTATTGCTGTCAGTAGCTTACAGGTCTGGTATGCAGAAAACTACTTCAGGCTGGGTACTGAAGTACTGTGCCTGTTTTGCTAGAGACAGGTGTAGTGTTGTACAATTGAACATATTGATTGAGGTAATTACTGGCAGCACAATGTGCTTATGCACATTCCTCAAAGTAGACACTGTATGTAATGCACTGGCCATTGTCTGTTGACGCAAGAGACTTAGTCAACTACAATAAATAGAAAGATGTTTTACATTCTACAAGCAGCTGTGGATGGCATTATAGGTAACAATCCCTCTTCAATTCAACCCAGTAAAGATGCATACCAAAGTGAGCGAGGCAAACATAACATGAAACTTTTTTTTTTTTTTTTTATTTGGGAAAGGTTTGGGTGTTGACCTCCTGTGTGTATGCGTCCTTGGCAAGTGTGTATATGCATGTTTGGCCTGTCTGTACAAAGTGTGTGTATGTGAGTGTGTGATGTGTGTTGTTAGGCCCATGTATTGTACTTTATGAAGAGGATTGCAGCCTTTTGCGGGCAGTGCATCAGAGGGTATTTAAAGTGATGGATGAGCCACTTCTTCAGTGGTCGGTGGGGAAAACAGAAAAACGGAGTCATCGGGTAACAACTGCAACAATTTCTCAGATGGTTTGAAACACAAGGAGAGGAAAATAAGACAACGCTGTCTATGGAGATGAAAAAACATATTGCTATATCCCTGTCCTTGTACCAGACAGAGGATGACTCATTGGGGATGTCCCCCAGAGAGGGTAGGAGTTGAAGAGAGGACAAGGAGGGAAAGAGGAGGTGGAATGGTTGGAGAAATAGGAGATTTGAAAGAGATCGACAAGAAATGAATCTATAGTCTTTAAATGTTGAAGCTATCGAAATAGAGAGAGGGTGGAAGAGAACAAGGAGATAAGGAAAAGACCTGGAACTACATAAATAAACATCCCAGTGTGGAGATTGTAGACAGCAAGTTGAAGATAGAATGGAGAGAACAGAAGCAAGACAAAAAGGGGAGAATAGACGAGAGGGTGAAAGATGAGTAGAGGAAGAAAGGATGAAGAAAAAATTGTAAATTGGCAGTTTTATGGGACTACAGGGAAGAGGGATAAGGCAAAAACTTGGGTAGACGCATAAAGGAGGGAGAGAAACAGATACTTTTTAGAGAATGAACAGTCTCAGAGTAGGTTTACAGTATGGATCTGTGTGTGGTGTTTAACATCATGGAGTGTGGATTTACTCTCATCATTGAAAATACTGTAATAAACTTTGTCCGCCCTTGCACTTTTGCCATTATGCATATAAATATGTCTATATTTGTATTAAATAGCCTTTTGGGGTCATTTTTCATTTAGGAATAACCTGATGCGCCAGATGGTTTGTTACACAGAACCATCTTAGAGACCGTCACTGGAAACTGGAAAAGGGCAGGCGCTTTCCAAAAAGCTGGTGACCGGATGAACTGTCACTCTGTCATGGTCATGGTCATTAGGAAAGCCATAACCAGTCGGTAGAGCAAAAACATCTTGTCCACCTTCAGCACCCTTCTTTGCTCCTCATTCTACCAAGCCACTTTCCTGTGCATATGACCCAAGTAATGCTTTTCAGTTTCTAGCATGTCTGGTTGATAGAGACAAATAAATTAATTTTTCAGTCTTTGAAATACAGAGATGTGTTGGAAATATAATTGTCTCCATTATTTACTTTATCACTTTAAGTTCACAAGTAATCATCATCTGGAAAATTTCTGATGCAAGCAAGCACACACACACACACACACACACACACACACACACACACACACACACCCTGTGCCCTCTCTCTCACACCTTGCAGTCAAAGTGCCTGTTAAAGCAGGAAACCTGTGCAAGAGCACTAGCTTGGGAATCGATTTCCTCCCATTAGTTTAGATTTAAACATGTCAAAGAGCTGCAGATGGTTTTGACTTTTCCTGACTCCTTCTCCAGGCAAAAATTGTATCTACTGTACTGTACAGTGGTTAGCTAGCCACAGAGGGAACCACAAGGCCCTAATTCAATGGTGTGTGCGTGTGTGTGTGTGTGTGTGTGTGTGTGTGTGTGTGTGTGTGTGTGTGTGTGTGTGTGTGTGTGTGTCTGGAGACAGAACCTGATTCCCTGTGCTCTCTGCTCCCAATAAGAGACTGCTAGCTGCTTGTTTGATCTCTAGCCCCCTCTGTTTCTGCCCTGCCTGCCTCAAATAGTGGATTCAGATGTCAAACGGATGTTATTTTTCTTTCTGACAATCACTAGATGTTTCTCATCTCCAGAGGGCCTTCCAGATCAATGCCCTCCCGTGGCTTTTCTTTTAGCCTGGACCAGCCCTTGGAAATAACACTGACAACCTCTCACAGAGTCTCTTTGACACGTTAAGAAAGTGCTCTGTTATTCTTTGTTGTAAGCAAGCCTTTGATGGATTGCAGTATGTACATGTCCAGTAACAGTGTGCACCAGGAGTCCTTATCTTCATGAACATCTATTGGTCTGTCTAGACTATGTGATGGGATTGCGATCATACCTCCAAATAGGTGAACACGCAATACCAAAGATAATTCTACTGCTTTTAACAGGATTGTTTCCACTTCATCTCATTTGTCTCATCCCCATTTTAAATTTAGCTTGATGTTTCCGACACTTGGACAGGTTAGAAGCACTTCTCGCATTTTCTAACACTTGCCTGTTTGTTTTACTGTCAGTCTCTTTTCTGTAGATGATAATGGAACTGGGTGATTTGTGCAGGGTTATGAGTTTTGAACCTGCCATTTCAAGCCTTGAAGTGACTCATATTTGACCCTTCCGTCTAAGCGGGAGGTATGGTTGTCTTCTGGCTTCCTGGCCTGTGTGTCTTTACAGTCAAAATCCAATTAACACAACCTGACAGTTTGCTCCTTGAAAAATGATGGTGAGCAGGTTTGACAGAAAAGTAGACAGTGTTTAGAAGAGGAGAGGAGAGAAATAGAGGGTGCTGAGTGACAGCTGGCTAAGGTAGTAAGTGAGTAATTGATTGGTTTCCCATTGTGCTACAGTTCTCTGCTGAGTTTAACTTTCATAGTTTTGCTTAGTTGTCTCTCTGTGTGCCTGTGTGAAAAAAATAGAAATGGCCTGGAATAAATGAACAGTGAATTAAAAGGCTGAGAGGACATCTTGATTTCAGTTGACTTTATTCTCAGTGTGCAGTGGGATTCCTGAGTGGAACTCACACCATTTGTACCAACACAACTGTATTAATACATGTGATCACAGTATGTAGGTGCCAGACACTTCCTCTACTAAAGGTGAAAGTGGAGTGACACATTGGGTCAATGGGGAAGCCAAAAGATGCACTCCACCAGATGGTAGCATTTAATTTGACTGTATTGATGTTTATTTTGGGACTGCTCCTCAGCGGCTGATGTAACTCTAACAACACCCCTTTCCAAGATGTTCTGTTCTCTGAGCAGACACTGAGCAGAGCTGTACAAGCTTTTGAAGTTTAAGGAAATATGAAAGAAAGTGGGAAGCATGAGACCTTAGTGAAGGTGCGGGAGAGAGAGAGAGACAGAGACAGTGAGAGAGTGCTCTGAGAAAAAAGAGCAGTCTCCAGTGTCTTTGTCAAACCTCAGCAGTTGTGTTATGCATATTATTGGATCAGCTTTTCCATTACCAGCGTAAAAGGTAGCATTAGATTTGTCTCCCTCTGAACTCTGGATTAAATGTAAATGATGACTGACGGGAGAGAAGGGTAGCCTGGATTAAGGAAGTACAGAAGGTGATGTCATATGCACATATTTTGCATCTCTCTCTTCTGTTCTCTCTCTTTCTCTCTTACTCCCATAGGCGCATGAACATACAAATATGTTAGTCATTGTGCAGCCAGCTCATGCTTAAGCAAGCATGTATAACTGCCAGGTGATCATGAGGGATTTGAAGAGGCACGGGCATCTGTATAGATCCAGCATTTCTCTTGATGAGTTGGCCTGCAGTGCATTCTGTAGCTCATGTTTCCTTCAGTCTCACCACAAAGGCTCCGTCTTCTCACAGTAGGCAGCAAGGGGCTTTTACTGGGGAAAGTACACTGCCTTGACATCCTCTCCTTGCCAGCTCTGGCTTTCACTGGGCATTTGGT